CCTTTCGAAATCGAGTTTTGTTTTTTCTTTTTGCTCCTTCCGCTGCTTTTATTAATCTCTCTCTCCCTCTCTCTCTCTCTCTCCCTCTCTCTCTCTCTCTCTCTCTCTCTCTCTCTCTCTCTCTCTCTCTCTCTCTCTCTCTCTCTCTCTCTCTCTCTCTCTCTCTCCCCTCTCTCTCCCTCCCTCCCTCCCTCCCTCTCTCTCTCTCTCTCTCTCTCTCTCTCTCTCTCTCTCTCTCTCTCTCTCTCTCTCTCTCTCTCTCTCTCTCTCTCTCTGTCGTTGTACTTCTTGCGTTGTATTAACAACACCGTCTTCATTAATTTTAATTACTCCCCTCATTACAGCAATCAGTTTATCGACTGAAAAAGTTCTGGAACATTTGAGATAGTTTGCCAACACCTGTCGCGCCAACCAATCTTCCGCAACAAGGATTACTTAGCTTATTATTCCCTTTTTTTCTATTCCTTCTTCGGCTAAGGGTAAAGAATAAAATCAAATGTTGTTTGTTCCAATATTTTACCTGTCCGTTGTGTTTAAGTTCTGGCGATGTGATGATATTTAGGAGCCCGAAAAATGCATATATTAACGACGTACGTGTTCTTATAATTTGCGTTTGTTTGAAAGGGTCGGTGTTAATGTCCGGTGTATTATTTACGTATGAAGTGTGCGCGTGTGTGTGGTTGCATGAGTAACTCCCCTGCCCCCCCCCCCATCCCCATATCCCACTGTCACAGAGTGAGCTGCTACACTGTCGGTGTAGTGTATAAAGTTTGCGATATTATTAGATATTGCATTTAAGGAGTATTTGGGGTTAGAAGTGTTCATATTTACATATATATATATATATGTGTGTGTGTGTGTGTGTGTGTGTGTGTGTGTGTGTGTGTGTGTGTGTGTGTGTGTGTGTGTGTGTGTGTGTGTGTGTGTGTGATATGTATGTATTTGCCCGCTTATGTATATACATTGAATTTATACTAAATACTTTAAAGGATGGAATAAAATGTACTTGCATGTGTATGCATCTTTATATTTGCATACAGACTCGAATAGTTTAAACTGCTTTACATTACCTAGCTCAAGTTGTCCTTACAGGCAAAAGTCAAGTATTTCAATCTATTAAGGGACACATTAATATTGGCGATTTTAAACGGGTAACGAATGAGCTTGCCATTTGTTATGGGTCTGAGACGCGAGCAGTGCAGTGCGAAAGTAATATTGCACCATTAGATAAAAGTATGCCTCCCCTTAAAGACCAGGATGCAGCCCCGGAGTTAGGTAATGGAGGTTGCGTCACACCCAGCACGTCGCCATACCTGTGACGTGCTGTGACGTACCTGGTTCCGCAGCCCATGGTCGACGTACGTCTTGTGGGCTGGCAGTGTCCGAGGGGCGTAGGGGCAGTATGGTGCTTTCTGTGCCTGCCCGGAAAGGAGCAAGCATCTGCTGAGGGTGAATGTTATGACGAGGTGGATGAGGAGGTTGGGTTGGAGGTGGAGGTCGGGAAAAAGGTGGAACAGATAGTTTTCGGGGGAGATCTCCAGGGCACACTTCGCTGTCCCTCGGGAGGGAAGTTCAAAACAAACTTCAGCTCCCCTAATCCTAGCTCCTGCACCTTCCCCCACAGGCTCCTGACGACTCCCTAGGGAGACGTAGCCACAACCCCCCCCCCCCCCACCCGGGCCCCAACCCCAGTCATTGTCACTCCGACCCGTTACGAGACTTGTATTAACTTCCGGAGAACTAATAGTAAAGCAAGTAGCTATCTCCTGCAAGGCTTAGAACAATAGTGGTTATAAATGCGTATCTACTGACAGCCATTCCAGGAGGGAAATCTGTTTTGCAAGAGTTTCGTACTTATTTTTTATTACTTCGGGCTCCTCGTTTTATTTTGGTTTATTTTTGTTTTGTGTTATTTGCTTTCGTCGCTCAGGCTGTTCATGCTGTGAATTCTCAGTGTGAGTGGACGCCTTGCATGAAACATATACACATGTGAAGAGACTTTGCACAAAACGATCATATCCGGCTTTCAATGCAATCACTCATTCGAACAGGTGAGCGAATACCCTCATAATGAAAATGAGTGTGAACGAATGTTATTGCTTTGTAACGTTGTGAAAACTGTCGTTTCTCCGCCCAGTCCGGTGGAGCGAAATGTCAAAGTTCACAGCCCGGGCCGTCCGTGCCGCGTGCCTCAGGGATTGTGCTCTTGGCCCGTCCTTAAGATGATGGAAGAAAGTCGGCCAGAACAAGGAAGAGAGAAGGGGTGGGGGTAGATCTGCTAGAAATAAGGCTGGGGGGGAGAGGGGGTGTATGTTGCATGAGACGAAAAAAGAGACAGGCGGTGTAAAGAAGAAAAGGGGGGAAAAATGTATGTGTATTAATACAAAGACTCAAAACTTGGCAAGTCAGAGGGAGAGAAAAAAAGGCATCATATATTCAAACATAAAAAATACGTAGATTACACGATTACTGAGACAATAAAGGAAAATAGAGAAAATAACTCCCCCAAAAGTGCCAGAGCCACAAAAAAATATGTATTCTCTCCATAAAAACGAAACAGTGACGTGAAGAAATGAGAAAGAAAACGGATAGAGTTTTGAAGGAAGTACTCAACCGATTCGATGTGGCAGTCTCATTCGACACTTCTTAGACGTTACACCCAAGGATCAATAACATAAAGATGTTTTGTAAGTACACC